GACATCCACAGGTATTTGTAGAACAAATAAATTTCTAAGTTTCCCGTACAAACATTCCAGAAAAACAACAGTAGGTAGATACATGAATTCAGTGATACACAGATGCATGAATTCAGTGACACACGAATACATTTCTGACAAAGTGTTTAGGATTATTTGTTAAACGTTTAGATTTTACCTAGTGGTTCAACTAATAATAAACACCATTTCAAAGATTAGAACTAAGGTCATATTCGGAATTCCTAATATTTATCTGAAATGAGTCTAAATCTTATTAGGCTGCTCATCTGACCCTCAAAGACAATAGTGCTGTCCCAGAAATAGACACAGCTAAGCAGTCAATTCATATTCTTAAGACCTGGAAGCTCTGTCCGTAGGCAGTGAGCTTGGGGAAAATGTGAGATAAAATGGGGAAGATGCTATGACCCAGAGTGAAGGTTTTGATATTATTCAGGGCCTATTTGAAGAGAAGTGAAATATTATGGACCATGTGATACTATCATGTGCTGAGACACACTACCCATGTTCACTTCCTTTCGTGGATGACTTTCTAGGTGAAACACAGTCTTATTGGAACCTCTTTTTGGAGAACTTTATGAATAACAAATTTGCCTGTTAGGGGTAGAAATTTCTCTAAAGATGGTTGGTTGCTCACAGAGAGTAGGAACTGAAGTACAGTTATCTCTCAGTGTCCGTGGGGGATTGGTTCCAGGACTTCTCAAGGACACCCACGTCTACAGATGTTTAACTCTGTTATGTAAAATTCTGTAATATTTACATGTAACCTACACACATCCTCCCATATCCTTTAAATCACCTCTAGATAACTTGTACCTAATACAATGTAAATTCTATGTAAACAGTTGTTATACTGTATTGTTTAGGGAATGATGACAAGAAAAAAAGTCACATTCAGTACAACCACAACTATCTTTTTTAAAAAAAGAAAAATTTTCCATCCACAATTGGTTGAAACCACAGATGCAGAACCCACAGGTACAGAAGGCTGAATATACACTGCCTTAATATGAGAATATCTTAACTAAAGAGACTTCAACTAATTTAACAATCTGGATTAACAGTAATTGTGAAGTTAGTTTAGGGTTTGCTGTAGGGTTAATTAGGTGGGTTTCCTATCGTTGTTTAGAGGAGAATCTTTGTTCCTAGCTAGGCACATGTATGCATTTACTTTCCTTCCCATCCCTTTGGCTTTTTAAACATTATGTATTAAACATAAGGAGATGTTGTTTGATATGTGACATCGTGACTGATAACATCTTTTCCTGTGGATTGGAGTGCACAGATGCAATGCCCCATACAGCAAATGACCATTACCCTCCCCTCCCATGGGCTCCCATCCCACTCTGACTAGCAGTATGCTACTTAGCTCGTAATTAGTGACGATTGAGGATTCTGGGGTTGGCTTGAGATGCTTTAACTGGAGCTTATGGGCCTCAGAGATTCTGCGGACCCTCTCAGATGATCTACAAATGTTGTACTTGTTTCTCTTCCCCTACTCCAAAGTGCATTCATAAGGCTTGTGTCTAACTTAAGTGACCCCAGCAAAGGTTAAGAGTAGCTTTGCCCTCTGAAGTTAACTACCTGTTCTACCAGTACATGTGGTATGCATGGAAGGACCTGAGGGCCTCTATCACATAGAGGAAAAGAATACTGGTTTAAAACAAAGGTTGCAATGTATATGACCTCAAGGGCTGGCTGGGATTGTTAAGCTTGGGAGCCTCGTAGGGTCAACTAAAAGGGAGTCGCTGACTAGTGGTGAGCCTGTCCTGCACACAGGCTTTGCAAAAAAATTCTAGTTAAGTTGTAGCAGTGGTGGCTTTTGGTAGCTTCTGCCATAGCAAGGAGAAAAATGTGGCATCCCTGGCTGGATCCTTGTGAAGTGATATGCTGTATCTTTGGCAACTTTTCCTCATACACAGTGGGTGCTCAGCATGTGTAAATTCTTACGGTATGCTGCCCCTCCCCCCATGTGCCTATGGCTGTATTGCAGGACAGTTGCTTGTTTGGCTTTTCTTCAAAATTCAATGGAGAGGCTTTCTCTTGTTGGGTCTACCCATAAAGTGACATGTACTGTATCTCTCCCGGGTGCCCATTACAGTGGCACGCCTGGAGCTGTGCAAATTAGTGGTCCTTCTCTCTCTCTCTCTCTCCCCCACATCCTTCCTTCCTTCCTCCCTTCCTTCTCTCTCTCTCCTTCCATCCTTCTTTCCTTTCTCTCCCTTTCTCTGTCTTTCTTTTGATGGTCCTTTTTTCTCTTCCCTGTTGATTGTGTTCTGCAAGCATCAGACCTAAACCACTTGCACTTGTCAACACATCTGTGGCCACCCCTGCTCCAGCCCCCATCTCATCTGTTTTCATTTCTGCCTTATCACGGCTCTCTCCTGTCACTTTTCTCACATTTCTAAGCTCTTGCTAGAAAAGGGGTGGCCGGCACAGAAAAGAAATTCTGTCTATCTGAGGTGTGAGAGAGCTAATCACCTCTCCTTAGATACATGTTTTTCACAAGGGAACTTTTTCCAGCTTCATCCAGGTGCTGTTCCCTCAGCATAAGTTGTATATGTACTTGCAGTGGTGGGAGAGAGGGTTGCTGTTTTGGTTTTTGCTTATTTTTTGTGTTTTTTTTTTTCAACTAATTATAGGTCAGGGTTCTCAACCTTGGTTGCACATTTAGAATCATCTGGGCAGCTTCTAAAAATCCTGATGCCTCAGTTACCTTCCAGTAAATTAAATCAGACTATCTGGGAGTGGGACCCCTTCACTGTTTTTTAAATTTCCCCAGGTGATTGATTTCAGCATGCCCTCAAAGTTGATAACCACCAATCTTAGCTAAAATTCTAAAATGTTGGAAGGCTGAATTTCAAGTCATGCAAATTCGATTTTATATTTATAAGCAACAAACCTTCCTAATCAGCAAATAGATGCTTGTCCAAAGCATACTCTATACAAAAAATACATATGTATGAAATAAACAAAATGTGGTTTCACTTTTTTTTTGCTTTAACAATGGTAAGGAAACCTAAGGGGTTAAATTGGTTGTTTCAAAAATTGATCCAAATATAACCATTTTAGAAGAAAATACATATTCATTGTTGTGTTTCTCCCAAATTTAACACACAGTTCAGAGAGCATTTCGGCCTATATTTTTAGCTAAGCATAGAGCTCTTGGTCTGGGAGACGCTGAGAATTTCAAAATAGCTTGTTACCTAAAAATATACTTCCTGAAATGAACTTGAGGCCCGAGAGGGATGAATGGCTTTATTTTTTTCTTCTATATTTACTGTTACCACAAGAAAGCAAATCTTACATTTATATGTGTTGATATTTTTAGAGACCCAGGAAACAGGTGCTATGCCCAAGCTACAAAGACAGTTGCAGGACAAAGTTTCTATGACAGGAACCTAAAATTCATAGGACAGTGAATGACTGTGGAAGGGCATTGAAAGTGCTCCTCTCTAGGCAAGAGCGTAGGGAACACGAGGCTTTGCTTATGCCTCTCTAAGGGTTGTGCCTTGGAAAAGTACCTCACAACGTTCTGTGGCCCAGCAACTCCTCCAGCACCCCATGCAGTCTAAGTGCTTCATCCTTCTTAGTCCAGCCTATAAGTCTTATTCCTGTTTGTTGGTTGAGTGCCTAGTAGCCTTGTCATACTTCACTGACTGTCCAAACTAATGTCTTTAGTTAATAACATCATGATCTCATTGAGGAACAAGATGGGGAATGGGGTGTTATACCTTTTTAAAAATTGCCCTTAGCATACAGCATGTATTTTGCAAAGAATAGCCTGTCTTCCATATTTTATTGAATGAATGTGAATGAATATCACATTTATAATCACACTCCTCTCTAAGATGAGTGAAGAAGCTCTATATCCTGTCCTACTTCACATCAAGGGCCAACCATGAACTGCTTGTGTTCATCCTGTGTTCACTCATTTATCCAGTAAACATTTTTGTATGTCGTCTGTGTGACAGGATCTCTTCTTGGCACTGGAGGCGTTGTAGGTAAATGGGTTGGATTATTAGCAAGTATGCGATGCGGATAGTTCGTGCAGACAATAAAACAGAGTCCTAAGGTAGTTACTTGCAGGTTGCTATAGGATGAAGAGGTGGCGTTTAATCAGAGACCAGAAAAGTGACAGGAATCTCAACAAAGGGAATAGCAAGTGGAAGGCCGGAGGAGGGAATGAACATGGCTTCCTCCCAGAAAGGGGCAAGAGGCTGGCGATGGTGGTGGTAAGGGATGAGATCAGAGAGGGACAGGAAGCAGATCCTTAGGTGGACTGAGTTTTTATTTGCTGTGGTCATAACTCCAATGCCTCACCAACGCTTGGGACTGTGTCTAGGAGACACTCAGTAAGTGCCGGTTAATCAACTGATTTTCCTAAAACACAGAGAGAAGTCAGTAGAACTAGTCCCTTGAAAAGAAGACCCTTATAGCGCTTTAAGGAGTTGGTCAGGAAAATGGCGGCAAAGTCTTGTGCCTTCTTCTGCGTTGCACTTCATGGCTCTGTGAGGTTATACCCTCCCTGCCCAGCTGGGCGGTGACACTCGCCTGGCTCCCACATCCTCTGTGCTGCCCTCTATTTTGGGTCACCCTGACTTGGTCTGTTTCCTGTCTTATTCACCCAGCTCAACTATAATTTCCTTAAGGGTACTTTTATTTGTGAGCCCAGCGCTCTGTACTATGCAGTGGGGCCATCTAGGTTTCTTTATTGAATGATGAGATTTCTGTAGAAAGCAGGCCTTATGACAATCATTGACAAAAGCAAGTGGCTACTCAACCATCCCCACCCCTCACCACCGTACAATGGATTTGATTACAAATTGCCTACATGAGGGAATTCTATTCTGATGTGAAGGAAGTATTTTGCCTTTCTCATGACATCAAGTTCGCTTAAAATTGCATAACATCTTCAGGAATTCATTGGCAGGCTGCCTAGCAGTTGGACAATCATTTAATGTATCTTTCTCTTCCCTCAGTTAATAACGACATGATGGTCACCGACAACAATGGTGCAGTCAAGCTTCCACAACTGTGTAAATTTTGTGATGTGAGATTCTCCACCTGTGACAACCAGAAGTCCTGCATGAGCAACTGCAGTATCACCGCCATCTGTGAGAAGCCACAGGAAGTCTGTGTGGCTGTATGGTAAGAGAGCCTTTTAAGAAGTTATTCTTTCTTTCCCCGTTTTTACATAATGTGTCTCATAGTACATATAGTCAGTGCATCTCTGTCCCCTAAGTATAAACATCTGTTCCATCCCCCTTTCCTTTATAACAGCTCTCTTTCGATTATTAAATGTACTTTCCAGGGCTGTTATCTGCATGGATGTGTACGTTTATGTGGATATGTTATGGTATATAAAATGATTTTTCATATAATAAATCTGGAAATTGTTCCTTGTATCAAGAAGAGGGATTTGCCACTTAGTAGTTGTTTAAGTGACACCTCCTCAGTCCCCCATAGTGATAGCAGGAGCTTTGTTCTCCGGAGGCAATCTTAGGTCTGGAAGAAGAGGTGACGAAAGGTTGGCTGTTGGAAAAAAAAAAAAAAAAACACCTGCCAAAAATGGGGAATCTACTTGGAGAGCCAGAAAAACAACCTGTTTTTTTTAGTCAGAAATCCTGGTTATTTCATTCATATAACCATTGGGATAGATATGACTTCTTCCTCTTGGCTCAAAACAGCATCTTTCTTTCTTTCTTTCTTTCTTTTTGTTTTTGTTTTTTTTTGTTTGTTTTTTGAGATGTTACCCAGGCTGGAGTGCAGTGGGGCAATCTTGGCTCACCACAACCTCCACCTCCTGGGTTCAAGTGATTCTGCTGCCACGGCCTCTTGAGTAGCTGGGATTACAGGTTCCTGCGACTACACCTGGCTAATTTTGGTATTTTTGTAGAGATGGAGTTTCACCATGTTGGCCAGGCTGATCTCGAACTTCTGACCTCAGGCGATCTGCTTGCCTCTGCCTTCCAAAGTGCTGGGATTACAGGCATGAGCCACTGCGCCTGGTCAGAACTATATATTTCTATTTGATCACATTTTCTCCTCTCTCTCTCTCTCACTTTCTCTTATTCCCTCTAACCCATACACATATCTCAGATAGTTATACATACACAGCGAATACTCATGAATCATCTGGTTAATTCATGGATATAGATTGTGAGCATGAACAAGAAATAAATAACTTTAATCTTTAGAAGAGTTGTAATTTTATAAAAGTGCATAAATTTATTAATGGGATATGACATTTTGAAGACTTATTCTGATGTTTGGAATTTATTGGCCATTTAAAAAAAAGTAACTTCTGTGGCTCCTTGCTAGTTGGCAAACAAGAATATAAACCCAAGTATCTCTCCCCCTTTTTTGGGAATTAGTCATTTGACACCCCCAGACCATGCAAAGCCAGCCTTGATGATAGATTTGGAAACATTGAAAATTTCGGTACCTACCAGGGGATGAACTGGTTTCTTAAGAACTGAAGGAATGTTAACAGCAAATACGTCATGACATACTTGCCAATATGATGTGGTACATATCCATGTCCACTTCTAGGTAACACTTTCAAAGAAGGGATTTGGGCAAAGAGTGTCTTCAGGGGAAAGAGACCATTGTGGTTAGAGGCCTAGGAATCGTGCTGTCTGAGGCATGGCCTGGGCAAGTAGACGTGGTTAGTGCAGTGGAGACAGGTCGTGGGTTCTGCTGACGAAATGGAAGGGCTCTCAGGTAGAAAGTTTAATAAAGTTGTTCTGCATGACTCTGAAGGGTAGAGGGAGGATCTGTAACATTTACAGGAGGACGGCATAAGTTTAGAGATTTTCACAATCATGATTTCCAAACAGCAGAACGGGCTTCCTTTTCTGTAAGCACCAAGTGAAGATCAGGAGAGGCTGGATGACCATGTGTCAAATAGAGTGCAGGAGAGATTGAGACACCAGACTTCGATGGCCTCAACGCTTCCTTCCGTGGTTTCTTAAATATCTACGGTGGTGCGAGCGCTCACTTCTGCTACCCAAAAGGCTCTTTTAGTTAATATTTTTGTTTTGTTACCGATAATAAAAGCCCAAATCGTTGAGTGTGAATCAAGTCTCTCTAGAATAGAGGCTTTGCTAGCCTCAAAAAATGTGAGCATTTCAAAGAGAGGAGGCCTTCCTGTCTTTTCTGTGTCCCAGCTATAAAGGGTAAATACAGTGAACATTATTTTGACCTGTCTTGGCCAAAGACAATTCTCGTGTGATGTCGCGGTATTGATAATGAGAAGGGGAAGTATAGGGGGCGCTACAGTGCCCTCCATGATCCTGCTTCATGACCAAGGCACTCTCCCTGGGAGGGCTGGCTGTTGAAGGATCGCTGCCGAGTTTCCCCTCCAGTGATGAGAGCTGCTTCATTCACGTTGGACACTTTTCATGGGTAGCCAGCATCCCATGGCTAGTTGATGCAGAGAAACAAATTCCTGGTTATTTTGCTTTACTATGGGACATCTTTGAGGGACCTTCTCACTTTCAGAGCTTCCAAGGCATTCTCCGAGCCCTTTGCTGCAAGCTGCATTATAGCTTAGCTTTTTCCTTCTGTGCAAGACTGCTTGCTGCCTGTAGTCCCTTACAGATGCATCTCCAGAAACCTCTTGCACAGAACTCTCACAGCCTCAAGGTCTGTTTCCAGGAAACCTAAACTAAGACGGGAGGCTATTATAAAAATAGCCAAATGTGGAAACTGAAAGGCTCTACTATGATTATAGATTTCAGTGTTTTTTTAAATCAGTTTTAGTGTTGTTTTCATTCGTTCATTCATTCATTCATTTAACTAAGGTCAGTTGTGTACCCATTCCATGTAAAATGCTTCAGCTCCTTCCAAGGCTATCGGAATAGTTTAGAATCAACATTAATTTTATCATATTGGTTCTTTTTTCAGTGGAAATTGACAGCCTCTTCAATGTCTCAGAGCAAATGTCACAAGACAAAAAATGAAGTCTGTATTTACTTGCTTGTATTTACCTTTCCTATGCTCAGCTGTATCCAAAAAGGCTTTGAAAAGTTAGCTGTGCCTGGCAGGAAGCCCTGTTACAGGAGTGAGTGAAGAAAACACTTAAGGGCTTTACCAGGTCTCAAGCATTACAGTTGTTTTCTCTCTGTGAGTTTAGTTCGCTAAGCAGCTAAAAGGTGGAAAACCAGAGGCTCTGGAAGAGCTGCCCAATAATTACAGAGCTGCTTTCTTTCATGGCTCACATTTCCTTCTTTGGCCTCTATAGTCATCACAAGGAAGAGGGACCATGCCTTTCCCTGGGCATAGCATGCCTTCATTTTATTACCCAAACCAAAAACAACCTACATACACACACACGCACACCCCCCCCCACCCCACACACACAAAACGGTGGAAGCAGGGAGGAAGGTGCTCTTTGTCCCTGGCTGCAGCTGATTTTAAGACTGCGCAGTAGCTTTGGGGTTAAGGATGGGTAGATTTCTAAATGTAAATCACTTGTTGTTTGATCATGCCGACTTTCATTTAGATTCATTTGGTGTCCTGATAGCCACCCTCAGCTAAGTGTTCTGCTTGCCACTCTTCCTGTCACAGCAGGGACCAACTTAGCAAAGCCTTGCTCCTCTTGTGCCTTCTGGAGCTCTAGTTTAAGAACCGTTGAGCCCTTTCACAAGCAGACACGTGTACCTCCACTGGAGTCCACTCTGGGCTGCATGGATGTCAACACTGGCACCGTTACTCCCTGGGCTGTCCTTACTCATACCCTTGCCCTTATCCCTTTGTCAACACATTGTCCTTTAGTGTCCTTGACTTAAGCACTAAGAAGGTGGTATTGGTCAGAGTTGCTCTTTCTCTCGTGGGGATGGCCCCATGTCTTTTACAGGTGCAAACTGTGTCTTAGCTGCTGCTTGCTTCCAGCCTGCCTTCCATTTTCCTTGTTCTGAGCAGTGAGCTTTTGTGCATGGGGCAGGGAGGATTAGGGGAAAATTGGTGAACACAGGCATGCATGGGCTCATGTGTGCACTCAGAATCTTCATAGAAAATTATGCTAGCAAAACTGACTGGACCTAATTAGCCCTTCCTTCCGCTCCAGCTCTAGACAGAGAGAATGCAATTTAAGACAATAGGTATTTTGCATCTGAAAAGGACAGAGGTGAAAAGGAGGATGTCACACTAACCTTGTTGGACAGTCATCCAAGATAGTATGTTCATGAGGGAGCAGAGGGAAGTGGATAGAGAGGTGATGCTCTTTTCCAAGAGAGCCAAAGTGTTCTTTGGGCTTTTCAATTATAATAGTAGGCATTAACCATGTCGTTTTAAAATCTAATCTATACTGAGAGCTAATTGAGCACTTCCTAGGACTCAAGGAAAATTCTGTGTAAGAAATTCTCTGAGCCCTGGGCTGAATTAGTCTTCAAATATATACGAAGGTTTACTAAATGTAAAAGTAGTTAATGACAGCTTAAACTATTTCATTGAGCTGTAAATGAAGAACACCCTGAAATCCTTTCCCATTTTTTTTTTTTTCTGATTGTGCCTTTCTGTAATTTGGGAAAGACTGCAGTTCTTTATCTGGAATGGTTCTTCCCATTTTTCTCAGCAGAACCAGCTGTTGACAAGGAGTATGCTCTTCATACACAGTGCTCTGAGGCCCAGCAAACAAAAAAAGAGGAACTGTGACTATCTCCCCAGGCATGCTCTTTGAACACAGTTTAGCTAGACAGGATAGATTTTGCCAGTTAAACTAAGGGTGTGATGTGAGCTTTGCATCACATTCAGGATGGAAGATTTAAAACTATCCTGAGTACCTAGGAATGTTCCTTTTCCCCATGCCTTCTCCTTTAATAATTTAATTCAGACTTCAGTGTGTAAAATTCTCCAGCAGGACTGCCCCCATGGAACACTGTCTGCTCCATGTGATGTTTGTAACCACAGATAGGTTCCGAGAATAAACAAAGGAAAAACAGAAAAAAGCAGAAAAGCACATGAGACTGTAGGGCAGCCTGCGAATGCGGGAGAACAGGAACCAGGGGCCTCTGTTCGGAACAACTTTGTGAAGGAAAAGTCATCCAGATTGCCTTCCTGTATGGAGACCACAGTACTCATTTCTTCTTCTTCTCTCTCTCCCTCTTCCCTCACCCCCAATGAATCTCTCCACCCTAGGAGAAAGAATGACGAGAACATAACACTAGAGACTGTTTGCCATGACCCCAGGCTCCCCTACCATGACTTTATTCTGGAAGATGCTGCTTCTCCAAAGTGCATTATGAAGGAAAAAAAAAAGCCTGGCGAGACTTTCTTCATGTGTTCCTGTAGCTCTGAAGAGTGCAATGACAACATCATCTTCTCAGAAGGTGAGTTTTCTCCTCTGAAGGGACTGGGCCTGACATCTGTGCCAGTGTTCTGCGTTGTTGGTCTGAAGTGTCACGGAGCACGTTCCTCCCGTGGTGGATTCCGAACAGTGGATCATGAGCCCATTCCGCTGGTGGAAAGAGGGGCTTAGGGAGCAGCAGGGTTTGTTCTGGTTCTCCTCAAATCTAGTTGACTGGGGCAAACATTATTATTTGTCTTTGACAAATAGTTTCTTTCACCTAGGGCAGTGGTTCTCAAAGTGCAGCCCCTTGGGCAGCCAGCATCAGCATCACCTGGGGGCCTGTTATAAATGCAGATTCTCAGGCCCCGCTAAATCAGAAACACGGGTGAATCCCAGCTATCTGTATTTTAACAAGCCCTCCTAGTAGTTCTGTGCAGCTAAAATTTGGTGACCGTTATTCTAGAGATTTGGATGGGGTTGTTTAATCCTGGAGGAGGACTTTCTTTATCACTGAAGCTGTTTCTCGTACATCGTCCCAGGTAGGGTACTTGTCAACGATCCCATTTGAGAGAAACATTGAAATACAGAGAGGGAATAATAAGCCAGAGTTTACCCTTGGAGCCAGGAAAAGAGTAGATTAGATACTAGCCTTCGTCTTTGAAGTTCAGCATTCATTCAGCTTGAAAGGAAGGCACACACTCTTCCCTCAATTTTTAATAAGAGAAGTATTCAGTGGTTGGTTTTTAATGACAAAATTAGTATATGTTCTTTATCAGAAATTCCAAACAATCCAACAATGTGTGAAAATTAAAAATGAAAGTACATTTCCCTCATCCCCTCACTCCCAATGCAACAGATCATCTGTATTGACAATGGACTGGATGCACACACGTGTCTCTGTCATTCATTCGTATCTCCCACTCTGAAACACTCCCTCTCCTCCCTTCTCCTTCCCTCCTTTCATCCATCTCCCCATCCTTTTATCTGTCGCATCCACTCATCCATCTTTCACTCCAACTGTTTGATCATATTGTAAATGTCATGTTGCAACACTTTTTACACCCAACCACATTTACAGTTCCTTCTAAACAAGACAGAACACATAGATACACTGTACATCTTTTAATTTTAGTCTAGAATTTCATATTATCTTCTGTGATGGATCTAGTCATGACCCTGTTGATGGATTATTTTGGTATCTTCAGTTTTTCCACTTCATGCTACGTTGAATATCTTTGTAAAAATATCTCATGCATTTGTGCTAATATTTCTGCAAAACAGATTGCTAGAAGTGAAATCTCTGGTTTAGAAATATGTGTATTTTAAATTTGAATAAGCACTACTAAACTATTCTCCTCCCAAAAAAGATGTAAGCATATGAATTTCCATGTACCTTCTCCAACACTGGGGATGGATACATCTTTTACTTTTACTATCGTGATAGTGTAAATAAATATTAATAGTACTCTTTTGCTTCTAGGAATGTAAATTCAGGGAAGCCAAAGGTGGGTTTAGTCAACAATGGGTCTGATTTAATTAAAAATCTTTCGGAGCACAAGTGCTGGCACTACACCCTATCTCTGCTGCCACGTGTGTTCCACCTCCGAGAAGGAATGTGTCCTCGTGTTTCGTGTTTGGTGCTCAGCAGCAGTGCACATCCAGCTTGTTCTCTTCCTGTGTCCTTCACCTACTGCCATTCTCCCTCTTCCTGTCCAACTCCCCCCAGGCCAACTTCTCTGTGAACTGAAGGCAGGCACATCTTGTCAGGGCAACACTTTCCAGATCACTCTTCCTTCCTATGTTCCCTTCCTACAAATGGTCCATTTCTCTCATTTTCTTTCTTTCTTTCTTTCTTTTTTTTTTTGAGATGCTGTCTCGCACTGTCACTAGGCTGGAGTGCCATGGTGCAATCTCGACTCACTGCAACCTCTGCCCCCCAGGTTTAAGCAATTCTCCTGCCTCAGCCTCGTGAGTAGCTGGGATTACAGGCATGTGCCACCACGCCCAGCTAGTTTTTGTATTTTTAGAAGAGAGGGGGTTTCACCATGTTGGTCAGGCTGGTCTCAAACTCCTGACCTCAGGTGATCCACCCACCTTGGTCTCCCAAAGTGCTGGGATTACAGGCGTAAGCCATTGTGCCCGGCCTCATTTATGTGATTTGAGTTAGGAGGGAAATCTAAATGATTCAATCATACTAAACATGGTAATACCTGATATTCTGACTTACCATATCAGCTTTCTTTAGGTAGTTCACCTTTTAAAAGAAGGCCTAGGCTAAGCCAAAGGAATTAATCTCTAACACTAGAATACCCAGGCACATTTACTAGCACTGAAGAAACTTTTCTCTCCTTATGTATACTGGCTTGTCTGCAGTAGACAAGTTTATTTTATCCAAAAGGACAAAAATTGATAAATGGCCTACAAGTTGGATCTATATTTTAGTATTGAATTTCTTTGTAAAAACATCTCATACATTTTCTATTTTACTATAAGCCTTTCAGATATTAATGACTTCCGTTTTCAGAGTGTTTCAACTCGGGTGATCATCGTGGGCATCCATCATATTTTTCCTCCTATTTATTCTCAGACTTTCTTATGAAGTGAGATAATAAGCATAAAGGTGATTTCTCACTATACAGTTCAGGAAGCCTTTCACAGCTGATGACTCAAATGTCTTGGTGATTTCAGAGTCTTCTAAAATGTTCCAGGAGGTGGGTTGGTGGGGTGTTTGATGTGTAAGCATCTCTCTTACCTGTGGTGGGATATTTCTTCCACCTAAAACAGCAGACAGTAGGAGCAACATTTTGTGTTCCATTTCTCCTCTTATTGTCACCATCTCTTCTTTATACTGAGGAATGAAACTTTTTTTTTTTTTTTTTGAGATGGAGTCTTGCTCTGGCGCCCAGGCTGGAGTGCAATGGCATGATCTCAGCTCACTGCAATCTCTGCCTCCTAGGCTCACGCGATTCTCCTGCCTCAGCCTCCCGAGTAGCTGGGATTATAGGCGTCTGCCACCATGCCCAGCTAGTTTTTGTATTTTTAGTAGAGGCAGGGTTTCACCATGTGGGTCAGGCTGGTCTCCAACTCCTGACCTCAGGTGATCCACCCGCCTCGGCCTCCCAAAGTGCTGGGATTACAGGCATGAGCCACCACATCCGGCAGGAATGAAAACTCTTGATGTTTATATCTCTACTCCAAGTCCACCAAGGTGGTGAACACAAAAGCTACAAAGTGCATTGTGACTGTGTTATTAGTGGTACAACACTCTTCTTGCTGCCAGTTTTCTGATCTGCAGCTGCACAATGGATGATAATTACATACGTCTTCCTTTTCTTAATATGTAAGGAAAAAAGGGTTGGGCTGCAAGATTTTCTTTTTAAGTATAGACCTTTATTTCTAGTGCTACTATTAATGATAGTTAATATTCCAAGAAAACGCACTGTTGCTGTGTAGGGAGCTCAGCTCTTTCCAAGCATGACCTCATTTCATAGCCACCCCATGCGGGTAGGCACTGTTAGCATCCCTATTTACGCACGAGGAAACCAGGCTTGGAGAAATTTAACACTTTGTCTACGATCAGACAACTAGTGAGTACCGAAGCTCGGATTTATATTGGGATATGTAAGGCACTAAAACCTGTGAAGGTTTTCCTTTTTTCCTTCTTTCTTTCCTTTCTTCCTCTTTTATTTCCTCCTTCCTCTTTATCTCTCTATATATTTCTAAACAGATAATATATGCACATGAGAAAAAAACTCAAATGCTAGACATATTCAAACACCTACACTAAATGGTGCAGAGGTTTAACATTTTGTTTTTGTTTTTTGTAAACTAGGCTTAGTTGTCTATAAAGGCAAAGGAACATAGTAACATCTTGACATCAGAGACCGGGTACCTTTTTCATAGATGTCCATTCTTCAGAGGACTGAGGTCATGGTTTTTAGAATGAAAGAGTTAAAGAAACCTCGCTGTTTTTTTTCTTTGAACTGGGTACCTAGCGTTAACCGTGAAATCCCCCAATGGGACCTAGTGTCAGCTCCCCTGCCTCCCTACAGTGACCAAGGACAGGCAGGAGTCAAGAAGCAACTAGAATGGTGCTGGGGTGTGCCCTGCACAACTGTTCTCTCACAGTCATGCTTCCTTCCCAGTCTCTCAAGATTCCCTCCTGCCAAAACATTTTGTGTAGCATTCTAAGGAAATCAGAATCTACTCCTGTACTAACCAGCATATAAAATTCCTGTCAGAAGAGAGGGTGTTGGGATTGGTCATGATGGGTGGCCTGGTGACAGCTGTCAATCAGACGAGACCTGATGGGCACCAAGACTGAAGCCAACACAGGAGGTAGGAGAGGAAAGAATCATGAGCAAATAACCACGCTGTTTACTTGCAGATGACATCCTCGCTTTGCAAAGACTTGATGTGGTTATTGAGCTCTCAGTGAACCTGTAAGAATCAAACACAGCAACTCAGTTTATTCATTTCATAAACAGTTTCCAAGTGCAGTGAAGACATTTAATTTGCAGAACACCAAGTGAAGAGGTGATTTCTGCTGGTTTAGGTAAGAGAGAAACAGTCTAGTGGTAAGGCTCAAGAATGAGGCGATTCTCCTGGATTTAAGGCCTATTCTATGGCTCATTAGCTCTGCTGTGTTGGGTCAGTGACTTGACATCTCCATGCTTCAGTCTCTTCATCTGTAAAATGGAAATACAAAGCGGGTGGGAGGTGCTGTGAGGATTGAGTCGATTAATGCATGTAAAGTGCTTGTAGCATTGCCTGGCATGTCACCATCTGTTAGCTGTTGGCAGTAGTTGGCCTTTTTATAGAGGTTTGGGGACTTGTCCTGGTCTGAATACAGGACACCAGGCCTGTTTAGCCTAGGTCTGTTCTGACACTGAGGTTTTGTAGTTGAGTGCTGACTCTGGTGCATAAGCCGAGCATTTGGATACCTACATATCACACCACAAGGTTTTGGAGGGGCTCACTCTGCTTTAATCCCTGTTTCATCCAGTTTCTTTTTCACTCCACATGCCTTCACAGAGGCAA